CTGCCTCAGCCCACGTGGGGCACAGCTTGGGGGCAGCACCGGCTCAGCCAGTCTGGCCAGCTGGGCAGCCAGGCCTCCTGTGTAATCAGGTCTGCCATGACCCAGTCTGGGGCCAAGTGAGAGGATGGCTGCTGGCTGAGGCCCCGGGGGCTAGTTGCTTAGCCTAGGACCGGACCTCCACTTCTGAGCCCAGGGCCCTGGCTTTCTAGAGCCTGTGCTGGGCCCGCTGGACCCCTTGTCAAGGAGGCCAGAGGAATCTCAGTGGGCCCCGAGGGCCCAGCTCCTGAGGTCTGAACGGAGCTTCCCAGTGCCTGGAAGGGAGGTGTCATCTTCCTTACCCAGATGGGGAAATTGTTGAGAGAGTTTAATTCTATTGCCCAATGTCACCTAATTGGAAGTGGCAGAGCTGGGACTCCATCCAGGGAGGACTGGGGTTATTTCAGATGAGAGCCACAAAGGAGTCACCACATCCTCCTGTAGATTCTGAAAGTCCCAGCCCCGGGCCCATCGCTTCCAGAGCCAGGCAGGAGGCGGCCAGTCCATACCGGCCGGGTCTGAAACAATAAAACTGTCTGCCTGTTTGCTATGAGATTCCAGGAGATCCTCCTTCGGAATAATTCAGGGAGATGGCTCTAAAGTGACTGGTGACACATTCTTTACACTCACAGACGATTAGGACAACCCCTTGCAAATTATTTACTGAAATTAAAACATTTTTCTAACATCATGGCCTGGTCGCTGGTTAAAAAAGAACAGGATTTTAACTTGTGTCTGTGGCCTGAGAAGTTAGTGAACTTCTGCCAAAATAAATAGTTCTGGACCAACTTCCAGCTGAGAGTGAGACTGCGCCCTTTTTTTCCTCTCCAATTTTATAAAGATGGCACCCTGGCTGGTAGCTCAGTTGGTTAGAGCATTATTCCTATGCACCAAGGTTTCGAGTTCAATCCCCGGTCAGGGCACATACAAGAATCAACAAATGGCCAAAACCGGTTTGGCTCAGTGGATAGAGCGTCGGCCTGTGAACTGAAAGGTCCCGGGTTCGATTCTGGTCAAGGGCATGTACCTGGGTTGTGGGCACATCCCCAGTAGGGGGTGTGCAGGAGGCAGCTGATCGATGTTTCTCTCTCATTGATGTTTCTAACTCTCTATCTCTCTCCCTTCCTCTCTGTAAAAAATCAATAAAATATATATATAAAAAAAGAAGAATCAACAAGTGAATGCATAAATAAGTGGAACAAGAAATCAATGTTTCTCTCTCCGTCTCTCCCTTCCTCTCTCTCTAAAAATCAATGAAAATTTTAAAAGGTATTTATTATATCCTTAAACACATTTGTAATATTTATTTCCTTCGGATATTATAAGGATCAAAACATTACATCTGGCGGGGAGGAATAACTTTAAGTTGGCACTGGCTCCCCTGGTCTTAGTCTTCCATTCCCAGAAGATAAAGCATAAAGTTCTGGAGACCTGAATCTACTCGGTCACTCCCCTACGTCTCAGAGGGGTCCATCCCAGGCCCCAGACAGGAGACTTCCTTCCCACCCACCCTGCTCCCTGCTCCCTGCTCCCTGCTCCCTGCTCCCTCTCCCTCTACCTCAAGGCCAGGCTCAGGGAGCCTCTGGCTACCCTGGGGCGGGCTGGCGGGCCCAGCACTGGCTCTGGGCTCAGGGCTGGATGGGGGGATTTATTTGCACCTTCGCTAGGGACACCCAAGGAGCTGAGTGCAGGGAGGCAAGGAGTGAGCTCTCACCAGGTGTGAGCAGGACCAGAGCGAGGGGAGTGACTCAAATTGGGCTCCTTCCTCCTCATGGTGCTAAAACTTTTTCAGCTCACAAGGCATTTTCACATCCTCATCTCATTTCACATCTGCCTCGGATAGGGAGGGCGGGAAACTGAGGCTTAGAAGTGGCTCTGTCTTCTCCGAGATCACAGGGCTGGCAAGATGGCTATGGGGTGGGCAGGGAGGGTGCACCGGTCTGTGGGAGAGAGAGAGCTGCCCTGGATAAAAACCAGCGTGTATGACACGGTTCTATTGGCATAAGACTCTACAGTGTATGCTGGCAGAAAGAAAAAGAAATAGTGCTAAGCCTGCCCCCTCTGCTCCAGAGCAAAGGTGGTGGATGGCAGACACATTATAAAGGAAAAGGTTGTCTGAGCTGTTGGAGGCCAGGCTCAGGGAGCCAGAGTGAGGGTAGGTAAAACGTCTTGGCTTGGCTGGTATTTTTCCTGCAGCAGGTGAGTGGGCCCCAGCCAGTGTGTCTCCTGTAATAAATCAAGCACCAACAATCGTCTCTCCAGCTCCACTCATGTGCGGAGCTGCTCACGGCTCCCCCCAGGCCTCCCTCCTACACCTCTACACCTGAGCTCCCACAGACTTCCCCTGGCCCGGGCCTGCCCTTTGCCTTCAACAATCGTCTCTCCAGCTCCACTCATGTGCAGAGCTGCTCACGGCTCCCCCCAGGACTCCCTCCTGCACCTCTACACCTGAGCTCCCCACAGACTTCCCCTGGCCCGGGCCTGCCCTTTGCCTTACTCCTTCTGCACCTGCGCTCCCCTGGCCTCTATCCCTCCCCCACACCTGCTGTGCTTGGCCGAGCCGGGAAGGACAGCTTCTTAGTCACTTCTGTTGGGCCACAGGTGAAAAGCTATGGGGCCTGCATGCTTCCCCTCCCCCACGCCCGCTTTTCCAAGTGTCAGTTGGCCGTGTCCCAAGAGAACAGCAGCAGGAAGTGCGAGATGGGGGAGGATGTTCTGGCCATCTGGCCAACTCCCTTCTGTAATCAGAAAGCGTGCTGAAGGGCTGGGACACCAGATAAGGAACACCTGGGTACGGTGCCCACCACATCCTGGGCGAGCCCTTGCCCGCTCAGCTTACCCATCTGTGCAACGGCAGGAAGATCCCCTGCTCTGCCTACGGACGGGAAGGCTGTGATGAAGTCATTGCGGAAAGCACTCATTGTCAGTTTTGAAGGATAGTTATCTCTGTGCTCAGCTCACATGCCCCGGTGTGTACTGTTCCTCAGAGCCTTGTAAGGTAAACCCTGGGAGGCGTGGTCCAGGTAGAAACCATCTGATTGTGTTGGTGTGTGTTCTGGTGTGTGTGTGTTGGGGGGTGGGGGTGGGGAGTGGGGAAAGGCGCTGGGAATATGGAGAATGACTCCTGCATTATTGAGCACCTGGAGCATTAATTGAGCACCTACTATGAGTCAACGCCTGTGGGAGCTCTGAGGTTGAGTAAGTTATTGCTCTTGTCCTCCAGGAGCCCCCAGCCTCAGAGGGGAGACACAACACAAGACCTCAACGCCCTCATTATGCTAGATTGTCCCAGCCAGCCTTGTGCTTCATCAGGTGTCTCAAGTGCCTCCCGTGTGCGGAGGGCTCACAGATGGCTTCAACCCAAATCACGCATGCTTAACGGTTCTCCGGCAGGAAGCTCCAGGCCCTCCCGTCTCACCAGAATCAGTCACCCCAGGGTGCCATGCAAGATGCTGGACAATGCCGGGCGCTCAGGGACATAGCAGAGCCCTGGCCCCCAGGCGTCCTTCTCCACACCCCCTCCGCAAGCTGGAGAAGAGGAACATGCAGTGGCCATGTAGATCAAGCGTTCCCTCCATCCAGCTGGGAGGAACCTCAGCCACTCTCACACCTACGGCGCTCCTTCCTCTAGGTCCCTTCAGCCCCCTGCCTGGAACCGGGTCCTTCCCGATCCTGGATCCCCTGCCCTGCTTTACCTCCACCCTGTTCCCAGAGACACCTTCCTAAAAGGTGTGTGGAATCCTCCAACCGGCACCCAGTGCCCTTGCTCATCCTGTGCTTCTGTGTACAGCCCTGGGGCTTGGAAAGCAGAGATTTCTGGCCCTTTCACTCGAGCCCTTCCCCCACACCCCCAGTCTCTGTCAGACTGGATTCCTCGTTCCCAGAATATTTTCCTCCCTTGGGGTACCTTTGCTCTTGACGTTCTCTCTCCCCGGATGTCCTCCTCCACCCAGTTCTGCCGCCTCCAGGGGGACCCATTCACGACGATTTCTGTCATCAGTGCCCTCCGCATATAACCCAAGAAATCAGCACCCCTTCCCTGTCAGGCCTCCTCCTCAGAACCCCACCTCTACCCTGGTCCGAGTTTTCTCTTCCTTTGAAGTCTCACGGGACTTTGCTTCCATCCAGGACCCCTGTGTGTGTCTTCACAGAGTCAACACCCATTTGCTGGGCTGATGTCCCCGGGGTCTGGCCCATGGCTTGCTCTTGGTGACTTCCTCTACCCAGTTCTGGCCAAGCAGGTCAGCCTGGCAGGAATGAAGCCCACTGGCTGAAATTTCCACGTGGGGGGGAGGGAGGGGGAGGAGGCTTCCTTCTCTCTTTGGCCAAAATGGCATCACTTCCAAGGCCCCCAAACCTGGCAGGGCAGCCAGTGGTGACGGTGAGAGACGGGGAGGGTGGGTGATGGACCCCGGGGTCCTGGCCCCCAACTCCTCATTCCCCCAAGCTGACCTCATTAGGTCAATGTGGAGACTATGGTGAGGCAACTGCATGGTCAATGAGTAGTGATCAGGCCAGCAATGCAGGTGATAAGGATGCAACAACAGTCACTTTCCTAGGACTTCCTTCTCACCTTCATCCTTCCTGAGGGTCACCCCCCTCCCCCCAGTCCAATCAACCAAGCCTGGAATGAGGGAGCCCGGGGTGTGGTAACCCTGGTTGTTTTCAGGTCCTGATCATGTCCCCCCCCCGCCC